ACACTGGCCTGGCAAAGCGAAGGGGGGGACACAAATGTGGCCCGTGGGGCGCGGTGTGGGGCCATCGGTGCCCAGGAAAGGGGTCTCGGGGGTCTCGGGGGTCTCAGGAAGGGGTTGGCACAGGAATGGGGGGGGGGGGGGTTGCGCCACCACGTGGGAATGAGGAGCAGCACGGGGTGGCACAGGGGACCCCGGGGCTGGGGGTCTCGGGGTGGTGGCACAAGGATGGGGACAAGGGGTGGACGAAGGGGACCCGGCCGGGGGGGGCGCGATACTCACCCGCATAGGGGACGGTTTTTCGGGGCACGGCGCTCCATGAGGACCCCGGCGCCGTGCTGGGGACCGGCGGCAGCAGGCAGGCGATGGCCAGCAGCAGGAGGGGGGCCATGGCACCGGGACGGGGGGGGGGGGAGAGGGGGGCGGCCTGGGGACAACGGGGACAGTGGGGGGGGGGGGGGGGTGGTGAGGGGGAGGTCGGCCAACCCCGGTCAGGGCGACGGGGCGTCACCCACGGGCGGCGTCACGCGGGTGGTGCGGGCACAAGGCAGGCATTGAGGGCTGGGTGTCACGAGGGGGGGGCACGGGGCCTGGGGGGGGGCATCATTGCAAGCCTCCGTGAGTCCCCATAGGGCTGCAGAGCCAGAGCGGCCCCATAGCGGATGCCCCCCGCTTGTTTCGGGCTGCCCCACAAGTGGAGGCCCTGCAGATGCAGCTTTGGGGAGGGGTGAAAGCATCGCTGCCTCCCCCCCCCCCCCCCAAAAGTTCCATCCCTGCGGTCACTCCCCCCCCACCCTGACGCATCCCGGTGGGTCCGGGGGGGGCCGTGCAAGAGGAAACCGGCCCTTCCTCTTCCTCCCCACCCCTGGAACGGCCTCGGTGCCCCCCTGCCCCCCCCCCCCCCCCCCCCCCCCTCCGTGGGTTCGGTGCCCTGGGGGCGCCCCGCTGCCCCCCACCCAACGGGGCAGGATGGCAGGACGGCAGGATGCGGCTGGGAATTGTTCTGCCCGCGGGGGGGGGGGGGGGGGAGAAGCAGGAAGCGGGGGGGGGGCTGGGAAGGGCTTCCGGGAGGGTGGGGGGCCGGGAAGGGGCCCCCAACGGGCGTGGGAAACGGGGGATGCCCCGGATGGGGCGGCATCGCTATGGGGTGCTGTGGGTCCGGGGGGGGGGCACAGGACGGCACGGATGTGGGGATAAATGGGGGGGGGTCAGGGTGGCACGGCTGGTGAGCAACAGGCGGGGGGGGGGGGCAGGCTTGGATGCGGTGCCGAGAGGGGGTCAGGGTGGCAGCAGGGGGTCAGGGTGCGGCGGGGGGGCAGGGATGTGGGAAGGGGCTCGGGGGGGGGGGGGGGGGGGGCGCAGGGAGGGGAGAGGGCTGAGAGAGGGGCTGGGGAGCCGTGGGTGCTGATGGGGAGCTGTGGGCATTACTGGGGTTCCTTGGGTGCTATGGGTGCCGTTGGGGTGCTGTAAGTGCAGTTGGGGCGCCATGGGCGTAACTGGGGTGCCATGGGTGCTGTTGGGGTGCTATGGGTAACACTGGGGTGCTGTGGGTGCCATTAGGGTGCTATGGGTATAATCGGGGTGCTATGGGTGCTGTTGGGGTGCCATGGGTGCTGTTGGGGTGCCATGGGTAACACTGGGGTGCTGTGGGTGCCATTAGGGTGCTATGGGTATAATTGGGGTGCCATGGGTGCCATTGGGGTGCCACGGGTGCCATTAGTGTTATGGGTATAACAGGGGTGCTATGGGTGCTGTTGGGGTGCCATGGGTATAATTGGGGTGCTGTGGGTGCCTTTGGGGTGCTGTGAGTATAATTGGGGTGCTATGGCTATAATTGGGCTTCTATGGGTGCCATTGGAGTGCTGTGGGTATAATTGGGGTGCCATGAGTTTAATTGGGGTGCCATGGGTGCCTGTGGGGTGTCAGGCTGCAGATGGGGTGCCATGGGTATTGCTGGGGTGCTGTGGGCGTCGTTGGGTGCCATGGGTGCAGTTAGGATGCCATGGGTATAATTGGGGTGCTGTGGGTGCCATTAGGGTGCTATGGGCATAATTGGGGTGCTATGGGTGCCATTAGGGTGCTACGGGTATAATTGGGGTGCTACGGGTGCCATTGGGGTGCTACGGGTGCCATTGGGGTGCTATGGGCATAATTGGGGTGCTGTGGGTATAATTGGGGTGCCATGGTGCCATTGGGGTGCTACGGCTATAATTGGGGTGCCATGGGTGCCATTAGGGTGCTATGGGCATAACTGGGGTGCTATGGGTGCCATTGGGGTGCCATGGGTGCCGCGGGCACACCCAGAGCACCACGGCTACAGCCGGGGGGTCGCGGCTCTGGGGCCACGGCTGGGGCTCCGCGTACCGAGGCTGGGCAGCGCGGTACCACGACCCGGTGCCGCGGGCGCTGCGCTCGGTGTCACCGCGTTATGGGGACGGCAGGGGGGGCCCAGAGCCGGGCCGAGCCCCCCCCCCCATCCCCCCCAAAACACCGCGCATCCCCACGGCACGGCGCCCCGGGAGGCGCAGCGGAGGGTGGGGGGCGGCACCGCCGGGGGGGTTCGGACAGACGGCACCGGGATGGTGGTGATGGGGGGGAGGGAGGGGAACGGGAGCGGGGGGTCCGCGGGCAGCGCCGCCGTTACCGGGAGAACAAAGCGGCCGCCCCCGCCGCTCCGCCACAACAAAACCGGGCGGGGCGGGAGCCGGGGGGGGGGGGGCCGAGAACCGGGGGGGGGAAGCGGGGGGGAGGGCGGGGGGTAACTTACCTCGGGGCGCGGCGGGGCCGGGCGGGGGGGGGGGGAGGCGACGGCGGAGGCTCTCGGGGCGGCGGCGGGTGCGCGCCGCGCGGCTCCGCTCGGCCCCGCCCCCCTGACGTCACGGGGGGGTCGGACGGAGCGGGGCGGAGACCCCCAGCGCGGGGGGGTCGGGGGGAGCCCGGGTGGGGTGGGGGAAGCCGCCGTCACATCGCCGCCGCCGCGCCGCCTCCCCAGCAGCCGCCGGGTGCCTCGCGATGGGGCGTCCCGGCCCTATAAGGGCTCCCGTCCATCCCCATTGGGTTTCCTATTACTGCCGGGTTTCCCCACCCCACAAGGGTTCCCCATCCATCCCCATTAGGGTTCCCATCACTTTTGGGGTTCCCTGCCCCTATAAGGGTTCCCCATCCATCCCCATTGGGTTTCCAAACACTTTGGGGGTTCCCAGTTCCTATAAAGGCTCTCCATCCATCCCCATTGGGTTTCCCATCACTATTGGGGTTCCCCATCCCCATAAGGGTTCTCCATTCATTCTCCTACCACTATGGGGGTTCCCCATCTCTACAGGGGTCCCATCTCTCACCCATTGGGTTTCCAATCACTTTGGGGTTCCCCAGCCCCTTTAAGGGCTCCCCATCCATCCCCATTGATTTTCCTATTACTGCTGGGGTTCCCCATCTCCATAAAGGTTCCCCATCCATCCCCATTGGGTTTCCCATCACTTTTGGGGTTCCCCACCCCTATAAGGGTCCTCCATCCCCATTGGGCTCTCCATCCATCCCCATTGGGTTTCCTACCACTATGGGGGTTCCCCATCTCTATAGGGCTCCCATCCCTCACCCATTGGGTTTCCAAACACTTTGGGGTTCCCCAACCCCTGCAAGGGATCCCCATCCATCCCCATTGGGTTTCCCATCACTTTTGGGGTTCCCTGCCCCTATAAGGGTTCCCCATCCATCCCCATTGGGTTTCCAAACACTTTGGGGGTTCCCAGTTCCTATAAAGGCTCTCCATCCATCCCCATTGGGGTTCCCAACACTGTGGAAGTTCCCCATCCACCCCCATTGGGTTTCCCATCACTATTGGGGTTCCCCATCCCCATAAGGGTTCTCCATTCATTCTCCATTGGGTTTCCTACCACTATGGGGGTTCCCCATCTCTATAGGGCTCCCATCCTTCACCCATTGGGTTCCCAAACACTTCGGGGTTCCCCATCCCCTGTAAGGGCTCCCCATCCATCCCCATTGGGTTTCCCATCATTTTTGGGGTTCCCCGCTCCTGTAAGGGTTCTCCATCCCCACTGGGTTCCCCATCCATCCCCATTGGGTTCCCAAACACTTTGGGGTTCCCCAATCCCTTTAAGGGTTCCCCATCCACCTCCATTGGGTTTCTCACCACTATTGGGGTTCCCCATCCCTATAAGGGTTCACTATCCATCCCCATTGGGTTTCCTACCACTATGGGGGTTCCCCATCTCTATAGGGCTCCCATCCCTCACCCATTGGGTTTCCAATCACTTTGGGGTTCCCCAACCCCTTTAAGGGCTCCCCATCCATCCCCATTGGGTTTCCTATTACTGCTGGGGTTCCCCATCTCCATAAAGGTTCCCCATCCATCCCCATTGGGTTTCCCATCACTTTTGGGGTTCCCCACCCCTATAAGGGTCCTCCATCCCCATTGGGCTCTCCATCCATCCCCATTGGGTTTCCTACCACTATGGGGGTTCCCCATCTCTACAGGGCTCCCATCCCTCACCCATTGGGTTTCCAAACACTTTGGGGTTCCCCAACCCCTGCAAGGGCTCCCCATCCATCCCCATTGGGTTTCCCATCACTTTTGGGGTTCCCCATCCCCATTGGGTTCCCCATCCATCCCCATTGGGTTTCCAAACACTTTGGGGTTCCCCAACCCCTGTAAGGGTTCCCCACCCCACCCCAGTTTCCCATCACTGTGGGCTTCCCCTCCATCCCTGCTGGGTTTCCCATCATCACTGGGCTTCCCCCATCCGTCCCCTTTGGGTTTCCACACACTGGGGTTCCCCAGCCCTATACGGCTCTCCATCCATCCCCACCACTGCAGTTCCCCTCCTACCCCCATCGGGTTTCCAAACGCTGCGGCGTTTCCCTACAAGGTTCTCCATCCCCATTTGGTTTCCTATCGCTATCGGAACTCCCCACCCCTGTAGGGTTCTCCATCCCACTGCCTGACCCCACAGAACGAGACCCAGGCAGCGGGGTGACGTGGGGCTGTTTATTGGGGACCCCGGGGTGCCCCCTTACTTCAGCAGCTCGTGCCACTTGACGTAGAGCACCATGGCCAGGTTCTTCAGCTGGGAGCGGTAGAACTGCCCCATGTCCTCACGCAGCCACGACCCAAAGTACTGCTCCAGCTGGGTGCACAGCTTCTCTAGATGCCCCTGCGGGCACAAGGGGAGGGGGTAAAGGGTTGTGGGGTCCCCCCGGCGTCCCCCTGGGGTTGGCACCCACCTTCTGCTCGTTGCGCGGCCGCTCCGTGCCCACCACGATGTCGGCGAGGTAGAGGAGGCTGCGGCTCAGGTAGCAGGTCTGTGGGGACGAGGGGGGGACCGACGGGGTGGTGGCACCTCTGGGGGCGTCCCCAAGGGAACGTGGCAGCACCCACCTCCTGCTCCACGTCCGTCGCTTCGGGCTCAGTGGGGAGCTGCAGGCTGTCCGGCCAGGATTGCGCCAGCAGCTGCTCCAGCGCAGGCAGCTGTGGGAACGTGGGGTGAGAGGACAAGCAGGGACAGCACGGGGGGCACCCGGGGGGCTGCACCCACCTCTTCCTGCGCCCTAAGGGACAGCACGGTGCACGGCGCCTTCCCCAGCAGCTGGGCCATGGCGCAAAGGCTCAGGCGCCTGCGGAGCTCCCTGCGGAGGAGAAGAGAGAGCTGGGCCGCAAAGCGTTGTCACCGCCAGCCCGGCGTCACCAGCAGGACTGCGGTGCCCTCCGGGCGCCCGTGGCACCGCGCCACCAGCAGCCGCTCCGTGCCGCTTTGCCGCCACCCAGCCGCGCCAGCTCCCGTCCCCGCGGGGCAGGAGAGCAGGGCAGCAGGGCAGCAGGGCAGCAGGGCAGCAGGGCAGCAGGGCAGCAGGGCAGCAGGGCAGCGCCCAGGAGGCGGCGTACCTCTGCCTGGCGGTGACGTCCGGCAGCAGCCGCGCGACGGCGAGCAGGTTGTGGTGGTGCCGGGAGAGCCGGCAGAGCGACAGGCAGAGCGCGGGCAGCTGCGGGGACAGAGAGGGGTGGCGACGGGGTGGCACCGGGGCGGCACGGAGCACCGGGCGCCCGCGGTTCGGCTCGCACCTGCTCCTTCCAGGCCGCGATGCCCTCCAGCAGGCAGTGCAGGAGGTGCCACACGTCGGGCAGAGGTTGGCAGCGCAGCTCGCGGTCGAGGCTGAGGAAGCAGAGCAGCGTCACCAGCTCCCGGCGGGCGCGGTCGGGGTAGCGGCACGGGCAGGCGAGGACGCACACCGTCAGCAGCTGCGGGGAGCACCGAGGTGTCACCAAGGTGTCACCAGGAACGCTCTGCCTCCCCCAGCAGGGCAGGGACAGGATGGTGCCACCCGCCAGCAGCCGGCTCGATTCGCAGGACAGCTCTCCCACCTTGCAGACGTCCCCCAGCTGCGTCACCAGGGCCAGCGTGTTGACGGCACCCGGGTTTCCCTGCTCCACGGAGCATTTCGGATCCAGCCTGGCAGGACAGAAGGCTCTGCTGAAGGCTGAGCGTCGCACAGCACATCGCGCCGCCCATCGGCTCACAAACCCATCCGCAGTTCCACCTATTTTACAACACGTGCTGCAGACACGGGGCGGCCGGCATCGCTCACGTTGCAGCTGGAGCTCAACGTCTTTAAGTCACAATCGTGATTGCCAGTGTTTAAGGTCCCAACCTACCTGGAAGCTTGCAGGAAAGATGTCAGCATTGCTTAGAAATTACACTGCTCTGAACAGCAGGCTTACAGCAGGTCCCAGAAAGCGGGTAAGAATGGGAGTGAATTAAGTAAGCACGAAGCATCGCACCTCGCCTATGAAAGCACCTTTAGGAACGCGCTCATTGAAGCTCATCTGACGGAGTTCACTTCCTAAGCGTCAGCACTGGGCGAGACTAACAACGCTAATGCTGCTAATTGTTCCACCTAATGACCCCGCGGGGCCTCGAGGGCTCACCTCGTGTCCATGGGGCACAGCTCGGGGGGCAGCAGCCGCCGGCAGCGCAGGGCCTGCAGGTCAGCGCCCATGTAGGCAAAGGCCTGGCCAACGTCCTGCAGCGTGGGGCACCAGGGCTCGTCTGTGGGCACGGGGACAAAGGTGACAACGGTGCCAGCGGGCAGCAGCCGTGTCCGAGGGCTGCGTGGGGACCCTGCACCCACCCCGCACCCACCATCGCTTCTCATCCACATCTCCCACAGCGCCCGGAACGCGTTGCTCCTGTCCGGCCTCGTGCTCATCAGCTGCCAAAGGAAACAAGGGGTGACTGAGAGACGGCACTGCGCGGACGGGGAGCTTCGTGCCACGGCGCCTCACCTGGAAAAGCCAGCGTAGGACGGGCGGCGGGCAGGCAGATGTGGTTTGGTAGAGCAGCTGCAGGTAGCCGTCACGCACAAAAGCCAGCTGGGAGGCAGGCGAGGCGCTGTGGAAAGAGACGGAGGGTCGGCGGGGCCCTGCGGCGTCCCCTTGTCCCTGTCCCTGCTCCTCACTCGAGGAAATTCTGCTCCAGGACGCTGCGAGGCTGCAGCCCACGGGTGTCCAGGGTGGGCGGTGGGAGCGGGCAGGCGTGGAAGATGGGCTCCCCGGGGTGCGTGGCGGGGAAGGCGAGCAGCTTCATGTTGAAGCGGGACAGGAAGGCCCTGCAGCGGGGGGAAACAGCCACCAAGGTGACGTGGAGGGCGGAGGGGGGACAGCAGGCGCAGTGCCCAGCCGCTGCCGTGGTACCTCTGCTCCTCCAGGAGCTGCGTGTCCTCGTCTGATGACTCCTGGAGGTTGTCCACGCCGGCCTGCGTCAGGCTGGGCTGCCCGGCGTTGGCCACGCGCTGCTCCCTGGCACAGCGGTGATGAGGTTGGGCTGAGGGCGCCGGGCAGCCCCCAGCTTCTTCTCGGGGTGCCAGGGATGCCAGCCTCACCTTTTCTCCAGCAGCAGTGCATCCAGGCTGTTGGCAAGCGGGTCTGGCTGCAGGCATGCAACCTGGGAACCAAGCAAGACCTTGGCACTCAGAGCTGGGCTGAGCGTCCCCAGGGACCTGCAGCGTCCCCAAGCACAGCTGAGAGCCTGGCGCTGACCTCACTGTGCTCAGCAGGGCTTGAGGGCCCACTGCACGCCAGCAGCTCCTTCAGAGGGATCAGCTCCTCCTCGCTGTCGCTGGAGGATGTTGCTGCCACGTCCTCTGCTCGCTGCAGCACCGTCCTGCTCTCAGTGATGCTGCTGGGCCGCACTGCGCTGCGTGGGGAGCGCGAGGCTGAGCCCTGCTGGGCCGAACGCCGTGGACCGGCACGAGGCCGTCGTGCCCTGCTTGGCCCCTGGCGGATGCTGCGGAGCTGCATGGGGCACTGGGAGGCTGTGGGGAGAGCGCCGGGGTCAGTGTGGGGTTCTGTGGGGCACCAAATACAATGCAGGAGTCGGTGTGGGGCAGCGAGGACGACTGAGAGGTCAGTGGGAGGCACTGGGGATGACGCAGCGTCATCGTAGGGCTTTGTAGAGCGCGTGGGACAATGTGGGGGTCAGTGCAGGGCACCAGGGGTGACATGGGGGTCAGAAATGGGCTCTGTGGAGCATTGAGGACAAAGCAGGAGTCTGCATGGGGCACCATGGATGACACAGGGGTCAGTGCGAGGCACCAGAGACAAGGTGCAGGTCAGCAGAGGACATCAGAGAGAACACGGGAGTAACTGTGGGACTCTGTGAAGCATTGTAGACAACAGGAGGTCAGTGTGGGGCACCAGGGATGGCACAGGGGTCAGTGCAGAGCTTTATAGGGCACTGAGGATGACATGGGGATCAGCAGGGAGTGCTATGGGGCACTGGGGATGCAATGGGGCTCGATGGGGTGGCTTTATGGGGCACTGGGGATAACATAGGGATCAGTGGGGGTCTCTATGGAGTACTAGGGATAATGTAGGGATCAATGGGGGGCTCTATGGGTCTCTAGAGATGCAATGGGGATCAGTAGGGGGGTCTATAGGGCACTGGGAAGGCAGCAGGGATCAGTGGGGAGTTCTATGGGACACTGGGGACAATGTAGGGAACAGTGGGGGCTCTATAGGGCTCTGGGGAGACAACAGGGATCAGTGGGGGGCTCTATGTGGCACTGGGGACAATGTGGGGATCAATGGGGGCTCTATGTGGCTCTGGGGAGACAATGGGGCTCAGTGAGGGGCTCTATGGGGCTCTGGAGAGATAATGGGGACCAGTGGGGGGTTCTATGGGGCTCTGGGGAGACAACAGGGCACAGTGGGTGGCTTTATGGGGCACTGGGGATAACGTAGGGATCAATGGAGGGCTCTATGGGGCAGTGGGGACAACATAGGGATCAGTGGAGGGCTCTATGGGGTTCTGAGGATAACGTAGGGATCAGTGGGGGGGTTCTGTGGGGCACTGGGGATGCAATGGGAATCGGTGGGGGTCTATGCGGGGACAAGATGGGGGTCAGTGCTGGGCATCGGGGACAACAGCACTGCCCACCCCAGGGCAGGCCTCACCTGGCTCGGCGCTGTGGGGCTGCGGTGGGGGCGGGGAGGCCGGGGGACGCGGATCCACCGGGCCGAGGGGCGGCGGGAGGAAGGGGCGGCCCACCCGCAGGTGCTTACTGACACGGAGCTGCTGGTAGGAACAAAGGCTGTACTGGAAGGAAGAGCTAAAGAGCCCCGAGCGGGGCACGCGAGCCGAGGACAGCGGGATCTGGTACCAGCGCAGCAGCCCCAACCGCTGTCCCCGCCTCGCCGAAGCTCCCCGCAACATGGCGGCGTCCCTCAGCGGGCGGGGCTGCGAGAAAAAGGCGGGCTTTGCTTGGAGGAGCGGCGAAGGGCGGCGGGCGGGACCCAGGGCTTCTGCCGCCGGCGGGATTGGCCGTTTAACTGCCGACCAGCGCCGCGCGGCCAATCACAGCTCGAAAAGCGCGAAGCTGTTCGACCAATCAGCTGAGGGGAGAGGACGGGAGTGGTCAGGGAGGCGGAATGGGCACGCCCTCTTGAGCTGTTAGCCAATCAGAAGAAGGACGGAAGTAATGTCTCCGCCCCTCCGCTGTGCATGTTGGAAATTGCAGTCAACGGGCTGCTGCTGCCGCGGTGCATGCTGGGAAGCCCTATGCGGAACCGCTTCCGGGTTGTGCGTGCGCTAGGGACAGGGCTTCTTCCGCTTCCGCCGGAAGTTCTTTTCCGAGGCCTGTTCCCGTGCGCGGTGGCGGCGGGGTGGCCTTCAGCCAGGCGGCGTCATGGCGGACGTGACCGCTCGCAGCCTGCAGTACGAGTACAAGGCGGTGAGTGCGGGCCTCAACCCTGTGCGCGGCGGGGACGTCGTCCTCTTTCCGCCGGGCTTTCCCCATCTGTGGGGCCGCGGACGCGGGGCCGGTAAAGCGGTTCTTGTATAGATGGAGGCTGTTAAGGCCTGTGGTAATTAAAACCAGGCCTGGTAAAATCCAGGAGCTTTGAAATCCGGGATCGTTAAAGCAGCGCCGCGGTTGGAGTTGCTGCCCGCGTACCTTGTGGGTGGAGGGACAAAACGAATGCGGTCGGAGCCGCTGTGGTGCCAATGGGGAGGAAAATAACGGGTGTGCAGCAAGGCTGGGCAGCATAAAGGATGCATCCACCGCGTTGTGACCCGTCTCACACCCTCCCTCCCTCCCTTCCTCCCTTCCTCCCTTCCTCCCTTCCTCCCTTCCTCCCTTCCTCCCTTCCTCCCTTCCTCCCTTCCTCCCTTCCTTCCTTCCTTCCTTCCTTCCTTCCTTCCTTCCTTCCTTCCTTCCTTCCCTCTTCCATTCTTTTCCTTCCCTCCCTCCTTCCCTCCTCTCTTCCTTCTTCCCTTCACTCCCTCCCTCCCTCCCTCCCTCCTTTCCCTCCCTCCCTCCCTCCCTCCTTTCCCTCTTCCATTCTTTCCCTTCCCTGCTCTCTTCCTTCTTCCCTTCCCTCTCTCCCTTCCTTCCTCCCTTCCTCCCTTCTTTTCCCTCCCCAGAACTCCAACCTCGTGCTCCAAGCTGACCGCTCTCTCATTGACCGGACGCGGCGTGATGAACCCACGGGAGAGGTGCTGTCCCTGGTGGGCAAACTGGAGGGCACCCGTATGGGAGACAAGGCGCAACGCACCAAGCCGCAGATGCAGGAGGAGCGACGTGCCAAGTGAGAGGCAGTGCGGGGTCTGGGGGTGCTGCTGTAGGGGTGTGTTGGTGGGGGAGGCTCCGGGGGGGTCTGCGGTGCTTCCCTGGTTCTGAGCGACGTGGGATGGCAGAGTTGTGGAGGTCAGAAGAGAGCTGTGAGGTTATGGAGTCCCACTGGCACGTCCAGCACTGAGCAGCGTCACTGAGCCGGGGAATCGTAGCGTGGTTGAATTGGAAGCGACCTCAAAGCCCCCCCAGTCCCACCTCCTGCCCTGGGCTGGGTGCCCCCTTCCATCTCAGGCTGCCCCATCCATTGCCTTCGGTTGTGGTGTCCACAGCTCCCCTATTTCAGCACCTCACCACCCTCACAGTGAAGAGTTTTTTCCTGACATCAGCCCCCAGTCTCTCCTCTTTTACCCTAAAGCTGTTCCTTCATCTATCAGACCATCCCCAAGCATCCACACATCTTTTGAATCCTTCCAGGGGTGGAGACTCAACTCCTTCCCCAGTATCCTGTTGTGCTTCACAGCTCTTCCAGTAAAGAAATATTTCCTCATATCCAACCTGAACCTCCCCAGCACAACCTGGGGCCTGAATCTCTTCTCCTGTTCCTCAAAGCTTGGGATAAAAGACCAACCCTCACCTCACTCCATCCTCCTTTGAGGCAGATGTAGAGATTCTCCTTTCCTCCAGGCTAAATAACCCCAGTTCCCTCAGCTGCTCACTGTAAACCTGCTCCAGACTCTCTGCAGCTCCATTGCCCTCCCCTGGGTGTCCCCCAGCACCTCGATGCCTTGCACCTTTCATGCAGAGAGAGGCCCAAAGCTGAACGCAGTCCTTGAGATGCAGCCTCTTCCACGTGCTTTAATTTGGTAGATGTAGTAGAAAGTTATTTAGGGTGCTGCGTAGTGAAATGGCTTTGGTGGTGTGAGCAAAGGCTAAAAACTACCAGCTTAGAATATGCAGAGTGAGTGTTCATTTGCATATTCATTTGAAGCTCGGCGCTCCACGTCAGGAACCTAAAAGTGAAATGAAAAAGGTTGAAAAAGGAGGAAAAGAGAGTAGAGTTTTGCTTTGTTTTTTGTTCCATGGAAAGCAGCACGTCCATTGCTCCCACAGCGCCGCGGGTGTAAAGCAGGGGCAGCAAAGCTGGGGCAGCAAAGCTGGGGCAGCAAAGCAGGGGCAGCAAAGCAGGGGCGGCAAAGCAGGGGCGGCAAAGCAGGGGCAGCAAAGCAGGGGCAGCAATGCAGCAAAGCTGGGGCAGCAAAGCTGGGGCAGCAAAGCTGGGGCAGCAAAGCTGGGCAGAGCGGCGCCTCGCAGCTCTCCCTGTGGGATGGGGTTGGGCTCTGAGGTGTGGAAACGCTTCTGGGGTTTGTTGTAAAGCTGTGGGTTTGGGGGCTGGGCTCCTGTGGCAGCGGGGGGGGCAAACAGTGGGGTGGGCAAACAGAAGGGCCGCGCTTTGTCCTGCAGCAGCACGGGCTGCAGAATTCCCTGCTTGGGCGCTGCCATGGCTGCTGCCTCCTTGCAGGAGAAGGAAGCGCGACGAGGACAGGCACGACATCAACAAGATGAAGGGTTACACGCTGCTGTCTGAGGGCATCGACGAGATGGTGGGCATCATCTACAAACCCAAAACCAAGGAGACCCGGGAGACCTACGAGGTGTTGCTGAGCTTCATCCAGGCCGCCCTCGGGGACCAGGTGAGGATGGGGGCACACGATGGCGAGGGCCGCTGTGTGGCACGAGCTGCGCCCCCTGCTGACCTCCTGCTGGTGGCGCGGCTGCCGCTCGTTCCCCAGCCTCGAGACATTTTGTGCGGAGCTGCCGACGAGGTGCTGGCGGTGCTGAAGAACGAGAAGCTGCGCGATAAGGAGAGGCGCAAGGAGATCGATCTGCTGCTGGGCCAGACTGACGACACCCGTTACCACGTGCTGGTGAACCTGGGCAAGAAGATCACGGATTACGGTGGCGACAAGGAGATTCAGAACATGGGTACGGGCACCGATGGCGGCGTGAGAGGGGGATTCAGACCGTGGGCGCGTGTGGTCACAGCTGCAGTTCGGGCAGGAGGCACGTGGCAGCAGGGGCGCCTTGCGCAGCCCGCTTGCAGGCATCGTGCTTTCACACAGAGGAGCTGGGAAGCGTTTGGACGGTTTTCAAGCCTCCCGACGACGTTCTTTTCATCTCTCGGACGTGCGGAGGTGGGGGATCTGTGAGCCCTGCATATGGGCTGCAGGTTTTCTGCTTAATGGGTTCCGCTCTCCCTCGCAGATGACAACATTGATGAGACGTACGGCGTGAACGTGCAGTTTGAGTCGGATGAGGAGGTAAGCAGGCGCTGCTGCTCGCTCTGACGTCTCCTCGCTTTGGGCTGCTCAGCAGCTGCTGTGTTTGATGTGTTTTTAGTCAGGCTGGGAAGCGGGCGCTGGCTCAGGTTGGGATATCTGTGCCAGGAAGGAGAGGAGGGATTATTTCAGATGCTGCTTTCCTGGCTTGGGAGGATTTGTTGATTATCTTGCTAATCCGAGGCTTATCGTGAGTCAGGACGATGGGAAGCAGATGGTGGTATTTAGATCTGCTGGGGCAGATTTGACAGGAGGAAGGGATGAGCTGAAATGCATCGTTTGGAAGCGTCTCGTAGAAGGGCTCTGTGGAATCGTTTCTGTGGGGGGCTGAGAGAATAAAAGAGGCACACAGGAGCCTCCTGCAGTCACTCTGAGACCCAAGGAGTGGAAATAATTTGACCACGCGGCCCTTGATCCAAACTAAAGGAATGCATTGATGTTAAAAGCACGAGCTCAATGGTTTCCCTTCAGGCACGAGCTGCCGGATGGTTCGTTTCTGCCAAGGAGAAGCTTCTCTTTGGTGTGTGCCAAAGCCACTTACTGGAAGTCGTGTTCCCACAGGAAGGTGATGAGGACATCTATGGCGAGGTGCGGGACGAGGCCTCTGATGACGACATGGAAGGAGACGAAGCCGTCGTCCGCTGCACCCTGTCAGCCAACGTGAGCAGGATGTGGAACGCGATTTGGGGTCGTGTGGGCTGGGATCCTTTTGGTTTGTGGACGGAGCTGAGCTCAGGCAGGGCTGGAAAGCAGCTGTGGAGGCCTGAGGTCACACAGGAGGGTTTGGGATGTGTGACGTTTGCTGTTCCCCGTTCTGCCTGTGGGCAGAGGGAGCCCTGAGATGCTCATTTTGCAGCACGAATGCCTCGTGTCTGTGTTTGATGGAAGAAGGGGACGTTATTGTGAGTCGTTTTGTTGGTCTGCTTTTTCAAGCTTGTGGCATCGGGTGAATTGATGAGCTCAAAGAAGAAGGATCTGCATCCACGAGACATCGACGCCTTTTGGCTCCAGCGGCAGCTGAGCCGCTTCTATGATGATGCCATCGTTTCCCAGAAGAAGGCAGATGAAGTGCTGGAGATCCTGAAGGTGAGCAGCCAGGCGGCGTGCAGGGCTGCAGCAGGGCCAGAGCAGGGCTGCAGCAGCATCAAGAGCAGGGCTGCAGCAGCATCAGAGCAGGGCTGCAGCAGCATCAGAGCAGGGCTGCAGCAGCATCAGAGCAGGGCTGCAGCAGCATCAAGAGCAGGGCTGCAGCAGCATCAGAGCAGGGCTGCAGCAGCATCAGAGCAGGGCTGCAGCAGCATCAGAGCAGGGCTGCAGCAGCATCAAGAGCAGGGCTGCAGCAGCATCAAGAGCAGGGCTGCAGCAGCATCAGAGCAGG